CGATAGTGCAATATATTTTATTTTAAACAAATTTACTTTCCCAAGCATTCCAACGGCTGGACGAAGCTGTAAAAATAAATATTCTTTTTTCTACTAAATCAAAATATAATGCATCTTGCAGACAATACTAAGATTCCATATGTCCTACTAAATTAAATAAATAAATGTGTTGCTTCATTACATTTTTTATATTCTGGCCTTCAGACTTTTATACAGACCAGACATGTTAGCTCAACATATCTGGTCAATATAAAGGTAAGCTTTATCGTAACTTTGACATATATGTTACAAATTTAGTTGATCCTGTACTATGATCTCCAGTGATGCACCAATATGAAAACATATAGGTAAGAAACCAAAAAGAAAAGCTTCACATATTAACCATTATTTAATAAATGCTACAGCATTACAGTGATTTTATAAACATGCGCTATATCGGGTGTGAAATATACATAGGTCTTTTATTTCATAACTTTAATTTAAAGCATTTTCATCATGGTTTCACTACTAACTTAATATTCACCACATATTAACGATGACGAGTAATTTACATTTTATTTCCTTTTCGAGTAATAATTTTATGTATGAAATACTAACAATTCATAAAATTCAGTTAGAAACTCTTGATCTAATGCTGTTTCCACTACATCTAGTTGATAATCTGAAACATTCATTATCGCCAAAAGATGCAAGAGAAGGATTTTCAAAATTATTGGATAAATATTTTTCCAAATGAAACAGTTTTAATTTTTGTATGAAAACGATCATATATAAAACTTCTTGTTAAAAAGATTGCTATGCAATTTTTGTTTTCCATCGAACATTCATGTTTCTAACCATTTACTTTAATATGTTTCTAACTTCCATAGTTATCAAAATTGTAGAAATATTAAGTATTTTTTGGAAGCAGGTAAGATGAAAAATTAACAACGCCTTCGCCGGAAATCGTTCTCTGGAATACCGGCCCAGCTTGCAGACCACCACACCACGAAGGCACGCTAGGAAGGGGGGAAAATACCTTATGAAGTCAAATTTAAGTATCTTAATGGAAGATAAAAGCTGACATGTATAGCAAAAAAATTCATTCATTGCTCTTATTGTATACCAATTATTCTCAATTGCTCAATTGTTTTTCATCGTTTGTGTTTGAACAATAAAATGTAACTTTTTTAACTCCCTTACAATTTTCATTTTGCCTTCTGTATTAGTTACTTTTCTGTATTAATTACTAAATACCGGCTTGACACTTGAATGATTTCGTAACTAAACAAACTAACTAGTTTTGTTTAGTTACGAAATCATTCAAAATGGAAGTAAAATGTGTTAGCAGCATGCTTCTCTTCGCTTTGGTTTTCTTCTTTTCCTTCCAACTTGCATTGATCTAGAATTTCTTAAACTCTTTTCTTCAGTTAGAAATGTAATTAATGTCTGTTCTTTCATAGAATCTTTTAACAATTTATTTTTTCTTTGTGTTTCTTTTTTTCGATTTTGCTTTCGTCTTTTTTTTCTGCTTCTGTTGCACATTAGCTTTTCTATTGCACATGGTTCCAAATCTACTTTTTTTTTTCTTCATCAGATGATGTTGATAGGTTTATAACCTTATTTATGAACTACATTTGTTTGCTATAGGACTTTCAGTAAACGTTCGTAAAATATGCTATTTTTTCATGTCAATAGTTTTAGAAAAATTACGTTTCCTTAACAACTGCTGGTTTTTCTAATGTTTCTGTAAACCACTGTTCTTGGAATATTGCTTTACTGTGTTTTCTCGTGTTGTATATGCTACATAAGAATACTGTAACAGCAGCAAAAATTATAACTACCTGTTATAGAAAACCTCAAAGAACCTTGTATATAAATGTCCGTTGCGTATAAAATCCGTTGCGTATATAAATGTGTAAAAATTACTAATATTAGTAAATGATTCATTACCAGTAATTAGTGCAGCCTGAGAGCAATAATATTAGACCAAATTTTTATTCATTTATTTATATTTTTGCATTTTTATTTGCATGAGGATGGAATATTTCTATTTTACATGTTTCTGAACTCGGTCCGGTAATACTGAAAAACTTTTATTAGATTTTTAAGCTTTTTTGTTGTTTGCTTATGCTATTTTTGTTTCGAACGCCTGTATGTTTTCAAAATTTGCATATAGTTTTGTTATTCCCACTTTTGAATTAAATGTTTGCATATGGTTTTATTTTTTTAAGTACTGTATTATTATTTCTGCAACTTTTGTTTTTAGATTCGATCTACAAAAATTATACTTTTTAAAATTTGTCTGCTATTTCGAATTTTTTTGAACTCCCCTATGTTTTTAGTGCTGTAATTTTGCATTTGTGGCACTGCTTACTTCGGCCAGCATGTGCGGGAATAATATTAGATTATTTTGATTGCTTTTGATTTTCTAAGATTACTTTTAAATTTTAAACTTAATTGGTGTCTTTGTCAGTTCATAAATAGGTGGTTTAATTTATTTACTTCTTTAATTGTACTCTGACGATTATGTAGCAACAGATGTAAACTTCATTCTCATTTTTGAGCATATTTTGCGCCTATTTCTAGCAAATTTTCTCTATAATTCTGTTTCTTTCATTTTCGCATGGGATTGATTCCGAATTAAATATGGGATAAATTTTAACATATTTTTTATTTTATTTTTTTATTTTATTTTATTTTGTATTTTATATATGTCTATAACATTTAAAATAAAAATGCCATAATAAGATGCATATTAATGTACATAGAGAGATAGACAGATATCTTACCATTTTATTGCATTGTTATTTTATTTCCTATGGTTTAAAAGAAATCACCTTGTTGATATTACATCCAGCACTTCTTTAATAATATTGTTAGCTTGAACTGAAAATAATCTATTTGCTTGGCTATAAAGAGGTAAATTAGCACTGAATGTATTCCGTTTTCGCTACTATCCTAAAGTAGCTATTATTACAGTTACTTTCTGTTTATTATTTTAGCTGTAAAGCGGAATATTAAATGGATGCTAAATTAAAAATTGCTGACCAACATTCAGGTATTCCATTACGCCCATATGAGCGCCTCGGAGTTCAGTCTGATAATGGTCATTGAAATGATTAGAAGGCTTAGCTAAAGTGATTTGAGATTTTTGAATGAGTGAAAAGAGATTTTTGAATGCTTTTAGCAAATTTTTCTTTTAACTAATATTTTGCTACATACGAGTAACATTACTGTAAATATATATTTTCAGAAAGTTTCCTCTGGGAAGGGAGATGCATAGTCATAAAATTTAATATTTCCTGCATCAAAATAATTTGGCATAGTTTATGAGTTTAAAAAGCACTTAGTTTTGAAGTTATTTTTCTCATTTTTGAATTATAAATGTTTAGAGTTAAATCGCCTTAATTTTTTCAATTACTTTTAAATATTAAATGTTTATTGATACTGCCTATTGTATGAATAAAGATTAATTTATTCATATATTAATAAAAATTATTTCTTTGTAGCTTAAAACAATTAAGGAAATTTTCAGAGAATTTCGTGTTAACGTATAATAGTTTGTTTATTGTAGCTAAATTTTATATATATAATATGCATCAAACGAAAAATTGTCAACTAACAATGAAAAGTATTTTTGGTACTATGAAAATTTAGAAGTTAATAGAGGAGAAATGTACGGCAATTTTAATCCCGTAAAGTAATTAAAAAGGATAAACAGGAACCATACATCTAAGCATTGTTAGCTTCTGTTGTTTTATGTCAATTACTGTTTTTCCTAAAAATATTTTTAAAACTCTACCTTTCTGTTGCCATTAACCATTTTGAAAAAGCTGTCTTGCCTTGACTACTAAGTATTTTATTCATTTTAAATAAAATAGAAACCAATTAATAACAGATTGTCTATTCCATCAGATTACACAAATAAAAATAATTCATTAATCGTACTGAAGAGTGCGTTCCAAACTAGAGGTAACTTATACGTGACAATTTGATCGATTATTTGAAAGAAGATACTTTGTAAAAAATTCTTCCTGTTCTAAATAGTGGAATGTTTCAATAATTGTTTGTTACAAATAAAAATTAAAAATAATTTATTACGTAAAATAAGGAAATGCAATTTTAAATCAGCTCTTATTTAGACAAACTACAAACGCAAATCTTAAAATAAGTCTTAATTTAACTTAAATAATTTAGATCAGCTGTTTTCAACCTTTTGACTAACGTGAACCATCTAAAAATATTGAAAAATGTTAATACAACCACTATATTTTACAATGATTATTTTTCAATTTCTCAATACAAATAGTTATAAAAAATATATATATTTTGCCATTTGCACAACCTGTTGGCTATTTGTATTAAATAGGCACACACAAAAAACATTAGATTAAAAATTGGTAACCATTTTAATTATCAAAATTTAAGTTATAATATTTTAATTCTAAGCATTATTGTGAAATTTGGGCCTGTTTGAGAGAGATCAGTTTCTTTATGTCTGTTTATATTTCACTTAGCTTTAACCCTAAATTAGGATCCACTTCCAATTTTGTTCTGCACTCTTTTTTTTTTTTTTTTTTTTTTCAAATGTAACATGGAAGAAAATCCTTGTTCACACAAATAGGTTGTAAAAAAAGGGAATGAACATTTAATAGCTTTATTTGAAATTCTTTTTTCGGTTCAGCCTAAAGTTAAGAAGTGTGTTATTTTAGAAATCTTCAGTTAGAGTTCAATCACAGACAATTTCTATCAATCGTTCTTTTTCTTCACGAGAATTTTGAACTTTATAGTTAAACGTACTTTGTTTCTTTATGTACCACCGGCTGAGAATCGATGATTTAAATCATTAAAGTTAAATAAGTATTTAAATGCGTATTTTTAGGCTTCAGTGTGAAAGCAAAGCTTGACTACGTATTGTAAATCCGTAAATACAAAAATGGACTCGTTTTTCCCATCAAAATTGTATTTAAATGAATTAAAATTGTATTTAAATGTAAAAGAATAACAAAATAGCAGACTAAGTTCTTAATATTTTTTAATTTTTTTTAACCTTGCGTTATACATAATCATTATAAAGAATGATCCATTGGGATTTTTATCAACATCCGCGAAATTTCATCAACAAATAATAAATTTACATTAAAGAATACATATTTATGGTAATACATGATAACGTGAAGTAGAATAATGCAGACTATAGTCAGGTTCCAGCCTGTATGAATAGTGAAATAAATTCTGAAAAAAAATAAATTACATTTTTCAATTCATTTTATTTTGAGAATTCTGTTCATTATGAAAAATATAGGACAAACCACATACAAAACGAAATGTAATTAATAATAAAAAACAAACAAAAATTACATTTTAAAAAATATATAAAATATCACCAGAGATAATCTTTTAAAACCCTAAAATATATCTCTGAATTATAAATGTATATAAATTTTTGTAAACGTATAAATTTTGACTTTTTTATGTACAAGAAAATTTTATAAGCAAAATACAGTTGATATGATTTCTTCATTAAATGTTAATTTCCTATGGAGATATGACTGTAGTTAATTTTGATGCATTTATTTTAACTATTGCAAGGGACTGCTCTCTTTAAGTGTAAAAATACATATAATGCATTCATACTTCCTTGTTTTATCATTTTAGAGTGTAAGAGTAAATGTGTTGATAAAACTAAAAAGATACACAGAATGTTAAGAAGAATGAATATTTATACATAAAAAATAAAATAATACTTTTTACAGGCTAACACCTTGGAATTATAGACTTTTAAAAATACATTTTTGTATAACAACAAAACAAAAACGGTAACATTTGTAAACAAATTATTTTTAAAGTAATATTGACGACTCATATGTTTAATGCCTTGAAAAACATCAATAAAGTATTTGTATAAAACTGAAGTAGCATGGGATATTTTCACTTTGTATGATGAAATAAATAGTTGAAATCCTACATAGTGAGCCACCTTAAACAAACATTTCTTCTTTCCACGTGCTCTATATACTTTATGGAAGTTTCATAAATTCCATTGCAGGATCAACAGAGCGTTTGCCAAGACCAAAAGAAAATCTTCGTTTGATATATTCATCAATATCGTTAAGTGCTGTCGAAGAGATACCTTCTGCATGTTGAGTTTCAGCTCTTTTGCCAAGACCAAATCCGAAGCGGTTGTGTTCATCGCTTTTTTTGCCTAAACCGAAGGCAAATCTACTACGGTCGTCATCTCTCTTTCCAAGACCAAATGCAAATCGATTATGATCATCATTTCGTTTCTCAGGCTCTAAATCAAATTCATTATGATTCTCGTACTCTCTTTTTCCCAGACCAAACGCAAAACGGTTATCTTCAGGTCCCCTCTTGCCCAAACCAAAAGCAAATCGATTTTCTTCTGGTCCTCTCTTTCCAAGGCCAAACGCGAATCGACTTTCTTCAGGTCCTCGCTTTCCAAGACCGAAAGCGAAGCGATTTTCCTCCGAATCTCTTTTACCAAGACCGAAAGCGAAACGATTATCTTCTGCTGCCCTCTTGCCAAGCCCAAAAGCAAATCGTTGGTCTTCTGGTCCCCGTTTACCTAATCCAAAAGCGAAGCGATTGTCTTCTGGGCCTCTTTTACCAAGACCAAATGCGAAACGATTATCTTCAGGACCTCGTTTTCCTAGACCAAAAGCAAACCTAGAATGATCATCTTCTCTTTTACCTAAGCCGAACTGAAAGCGGTTGTGTTCTCTTTTTCCAAGTCCAAATGTGAATCGGCTTGGCTCTGCTCTTTTTCCCAAGCCAAATCCAAACCGCTCAAAATTTCCATCACGCTTTTTTTCGTGAGATATCCCTTCTGCTTGGATTGCAGCCATGATGTCATCTTCGAAATCATTCAACCCTTCATTATTTTCTTCACTTACGCTTTTCTTGCCCAACCCAAAGCCGTATGGCTGAGGAACTCTTCTGATCTTTGCTTCTGCATCTTGCTGCTGAGGTTTATTGTTGTTACTTTCGGCAGGTATTTCCTTAGTTCCAAGAGCAAAATTCATGAGGAATAAAAGTAAAAATGCAGCTGTGAGTAATGGCCGAGAACAGCTAATCGTAATACAGGAACAAATTCTGAAATGATAACAAAAGGAGCACAATTAGGCGTATGATAATGAATATACTTATCCAACAAATCAGAGTAGTATTTAGTAAAGAAAGCACAGGCTATTAAAATAACAAAAAAAATATCTCACGTTGAAATTCTGAACTATACTAGATACAGTACATAGTACGAAGCCTACTGTAAACTGACAATTGTTATGATTTTTCATTATTCAAAAGTGTTCCTTAATTTAATATCATTAATAAGGTCAATTACATTTTCGTATATTTTTTTCAATTTACTTTGTTTGGCTTAGGTTCATTGTGGTCATGTATTCGATTAAATATATATATATAGCTAATGCTAATACCATTATTTTATATAAATTCAAAATTTCATAATAAAAGAGTACATGTAAAAGTCATAAAATACCGAAGCAGTATTTATATTTTTATATATGCATTCAACGTGTCACTTACTTGCCAAGTTTAACTACAGATCTAAAACCGTTTGCTTATGGAATCAATATAAAGTAATAAATAATGATATGCATGCATTCGAAAGTACGATGAATTAATAGTTAGGTACCTATTGTACTAAATTTTCACTTTAAAGTGATCGTTATTATATAAAACGCTTATTAAGTCTCACAGAATGTTCTCATTTCTAATCTCTCTCTCTCTTCGAACATTGTAAACAAAATATGCAAAAAATTTTGATAAAAAATTGAAACACGTTAAATATTTAAAGTTTCAAAAATCTTAAATTAATAAAATGTACATATAAAAATATACTTCTAGAAATCAACGGGGCACACCAGTGCTTTCATAATAAACTGACCACCGATTCTGACCGTAGTAGCGGCCAACGCCTATAAACATCTAGAGCCCGGCATTGGAAAACATATCTTTGAAAACAGTCCCATAATCTGTAGTCAATCTTCACCATTTTATCTTTACTGTCACAAGTGGAGTTTATTATACATGCTGAGACATAAACAAAATTTCGTTCTTTAAAAGGACTTAACTAATCACTCTTTGTTTCTTTAAAATATACCATTTTAATAAAGCACATCAATTTTAAAATAAAATTAATCAGAAAGTTCTTAGTAATTATTACGTTTATGATTTAATTAAAATAGATATATAATTTTCTGTCTAAGGTACTTTTATTTATTCTCATCAGCCGGAAATTGTTTTGAGCGGCAAATGTGAGATCCCCATTTTCCAAGATTTTCAATTACAGAAGGCGTTTGTTATATGTGAAAAGGCATAAAATATTCATCAATGTATTGCAAGCTATTCTAAAAGGTTTGTATCACTAAATATGTGTTAGTGACTAGTGATAGGCTCATCACTTCAGTTTAAGAAATGATTCAAATAAGGATAGCCTTTCGGATTATGATAGCTTTGTCTGCATCCTACATTTTATTAAAAACTAGCGGAAAGTATCCGATGCCAGCTAAGTTAGATTGAGAGTAATATGTCTAACAACAGAGAGAACGATACTGCTGTAATACTTCTCTAACAACGTTGCAAAAAAATGCGATTCATAATCATGCATTTTTCAGTCTGATGCGATACTGCATACAAAAGATAGAAAAATAAACTAGTTCTCTCTGATTATATCAGCAAGAATGGCACTCTGTGTTTAATGATTTTCTTCTTTCTAATCAAATGGTCGCAAAAGCTCAAGTTCCATTCAATATTACATCTATATCCAAATTTAACCGTTTAAATGTGGCAAAAAATTTATCATAATTGATCAGAAATCAATAACGCAAAGAAACAAACAGAGATTCTTCCTTATATATAAAAAGATTTTGTAAAATCTTCAAATTTTGTACTAATATACTCTAAGATTTGAAAGCGAGCGGTAGCAAAATATTTCGAAATAAAGCATTTTTATCCCCAATGCGGGAGACTCTTAGAACTCGGAAAAATGAGTGCAAAAATTGATGTATTCAGAATTTTTAATTAATACTTTGACTGATAAAAGACGTACGAAAACGAAAATATTCGAAATGGCTTCAGACGAATTTTTAGAGTCAGGAAAAATATATTTAATATTTTAATGCTATCTTTATTTCTTTGTAAAACTTACAAATTTTTTATTAACAAACTCTACGATTTGAAACCGAGCAGTGGCAACACTTCTCGAAATAAAGTAGATTTTTATATTCAGCGTGCGAGACTGTTGATACTCGGAAAAATGAAGTTGAAAATTAGCGTTTTCAGAGTTTTTAATAAATAATATCTCTGATTTTAGCTATTTTTGTTTTGGAAAAAAGTGGATGTCAACCTTCTCCAGAACACAGAAAAGAATTGTTGAAAGTTTGGTGACGATAGCTATAGTAGTGACTGAGTTAATCGCAAACAAACAAACACACGTACATTCATTTTTATATAGTATATACTATATACGCAAAGCTTACATTTCTCTACGTGTCTTACAGGAAAAGCTTCTGTTAATGAAAATAATATTTCCCATTACTCAAATTTATAGAGTACCTTAATTCCTTGCTAAAGCTGTCTGAATGACCCAGTGTATTACTTATTCAAACTAATTACTACAGATATGAGTCAAAGTTCTTAACAAATTTTCATAATTCTCTATATTGTAGATTTTAAAATTTATTTTTGTAAATTTAAGAGAATTGCTCCCTTGTGCAAAGTGTGTATTTACCTAGGTAATCATACAAAACATATGTAGCAACATATCGTATCTAGCAACGTATTTAGTAATGTTTTTTCTTTTTATAAAGAGGGGATAGATTTGCATTTCAATTCGTTTGCTGAAACGCTTTTCTTCATAAAAAGTGCTTTCTCATATGGGGAGTGTATGAAGATCTAAATTTTAAACATTTGCACTGCATGGTGTTCTGCCACCTAAGATTAATTGTATGAGTAAATTTTGAAACTGCATGTCCAAGGTTTCTTTATACATTTCTTCTGGAATAATTTCTATATATATATGTATAATAATGGCTTACTAATGTCTAGGTTTGGCTTTGTTTGCTTGTTTATGGGAAAGCACTCAATGGCTCTCTGCCTAAGAGAGGGTGGCCTTCGTGGGAGAACTTTCTTAAGAGAAACTCGCTCATATACTCGTTACGCATGCGAAAAGCCATGAAAACGACCATAAAGCGTTCGCGGAATTCGAACCTCGGATAAAACTACCAGCTTTCAGCGACTTTACCGCTACGCCGCTGATTACATTTTAGGACACTACTGTTCACGGTAGACGAAAGAGTGTATGAGTAACTTTGCCGATATTTTAACCGGTCTCTTGTAGGTAAAATAATTTCCATCTGAATATATTCTCTCTTAAATTCAAAGATAGACAATACATTAAAATCGATTCTGTTCGCAACAAAATAACCTCTTGAAATCATATACTTTGATTCTCCAGGAAAGCTCATTATCTTTCTTCTTTAGTTTTCAAGATCGAAATGGTGAATTCGAGGTCTTGACTTCATAACTTTTGGAAGCCTTGGTTTTTAATGTAATAGTAGACATAACAATCAGAGAAGAACCAACAAATGTAATAGTAGACATAACAATCAGAAAAGAACCAGCATCTTTTTGCATTAAAGTGAAGACGAAAAACCGAGCCAAACAAATTACTTAGAACAAGTACACTAAAAACATACATAAAAAAAATAAACATAACATAATCATTGCTTAAAAAGTTATTATTAATAAATTATTGCGATAAAATGCATTCTTAATTTCATATGAAATGGAAATTAGGAAATTCTTCTGATATCCGAGTATATATATTACAATGCTTAAAATAAGCGTATTTACAGGGTAAAATCTATTATTTTATTTGTTAGTGCGGATTCGCGAACTGTTAAAACAAGCTACTGCTTTGAAGAATACCGTAATAACATTTGTGTCTCCCATCTAGCTATTTAAGAACTCAATATCGATTTGTAACCTAAAGCAAAATAAACAAGAGATGGCACCAACGGCACTTGACTTGTGTAGACAAACTTAGCGTAATTAATTAATTAAGAGTAATTAATTGAATGAGGTCTTTTCAAGAGCATTCTTCAAAATCCGACGCAAGGTTGTATTACGATAAATAATATCTCCAGGTCGATTCTTTGCCGTAAGACGAAAAACATGTTGCTACAATATGCAAAATGCAATGAATTCTAGAAAACTGCTTTTCATCATTTCAGTTTTTGATTAAACTCGCACATGATATTAAAAAATAACTTTATTGCAAACATTATCTTAATAATCGATTCTCACATTATATTTGGTGAAGTCGCTTATTCAATTATTAACTGAAAGAACGTGTTATAAGTAAAAATAGTTTCATTGAGTTAAAAAGCTCATTTGCTCATTCCTTAATAAATATTTGAAACAGTAGCGTTATTCAACTTTATTTACGGAGTAAAGGTGATCAAATTTTTCTGATTATGATATTATACAGTCTTGCAAAGTACATTTGCAAGAAATCTGATGTATTTAGTTTCGCTTTGCGTATTAGGAATTTTGTATGTTTTCCCTTTTCTATGTAATACTTGCTAATTTTACTATATTTTAGAAAAACGATAATTTTATTTAGATGTGATATGATAAACGTTAAGAAAAATAATTTCTTAATGAATTAATATCAAAACAAGTCTTCCAAATATTCTTTTCTTAAATTCATGAAATATTTTGCAGTTTTCACGAAGATTGCTCTCCAAGCCAAGTTAAGTATGGTATCATTCCTTTCGAATACTTCCCTATTTTACTACTAGCATAATAGCTGATATATAAATAAAAAAATATTTATCATCTACATAGTTAGATATAATTCAACGTTACTTGATGGTCAGTTAGAGATGTAATACTGAAAACAGGTAAAGCAGGTTTTATTTATTTTTTTAGTAAGGAAAGCAGGCTATTCTGAAAGTGACAATTTTCTACTTATAGCTATTTATGATAAATTTAATGCACGTAAAGTGAAATTACAACTTATTAGTAAATGAAACTTTGCTAAACATTTCCTAAACGTGCAAGAGACAAAG